CGATGAGGAATACGAGGAAGACCAAGAGGAGGAAAGGGAGAAGAATGACGAAGAGGAGGAAGAGAAAGAGAAGGAAAAGGAATATCCAACCACCGGCTCCTGCGAGAATGAGGAATACGAAGAATACCAAGAGGAGGAAATGGAAGAGGAGAATGACGAAGAGGAGGAAGAGCAAGTGAAGGAGAATGATCATCCAACCACCGGCTTCAGCGAGGATGAGGAATACGAGGAAGACCAGGAGGAGGAAGTGGAGGATGAGGAGGAGGCGGATGGAGAAGAGGAGGAAGAGCCAGAGAAGGAGGAGGAGGAGGACGACGATGACTATGATGAGGAGGAATGTGATGATAATGGGGAGGATGAAGGGGAGGAAGAGGAGGGGGAGGAGGGGGAGGAGATGGAGGAGGAAGGGGAGGAGGCGGGCAGGTATACCCGAGTGCCGTCTCCTTCAAGTTGTGCGTCGCACCTTCGCAGTATCTCAAGTCCAGAGGTGGAAGGGCCTCGCAAGCGAGTGCCGAAAAGTCCATCAACGAAGTCCTATCAGGAGACGAACTCGCTGCGCCGCCACCTCCCCCGACGTCCTTGTGGGGTTCTGATGCTGGTTCGTTGGGAGCAAGAACCCACGAAGCGTGCAGACGATACCTCCCAGGACGTCAGCTCCTCCATTTACGACTGGCCGTGGCCCCCTATCACCACGAGGGAGATCGCGGTCCAGGCCTCTCCTCCCCCCGACGATTCAGCAGTTTCTACGCCGGTGTCCTTCATGGGTGCTAGTGAAGTCTTCAAGGACCTTTTTAGTGAAAGTTCGAATGGGCGAGAGCAGGCACAAAAGGATAGAGCAACGGGGGCGGGTGATACGATGCCCCAGGAAGAAGGTAAGATCCCGCTTATGCTATTTTGAAGCCTGAGAAAATATCTATTCGATATTAGCTTCCTTCCACAGCGATATTTAGAAGCTCTATCTAGCGCTCCAATTCATCTTTAGTTTTAGAAGAACCCACGAAGGATGATAAGCAGACCTCGACCTTACCACCACCACCACCACAGTCTGAAGTGGTAGGTTTTATCCCGAAAGC